CATGTCGAATCAGGCAAAACAAAGACGACGAAGACTATTTTTAGCCGACGGCACGGAACGACAAAAACTGCCCGACGGCCGACCATCGGCTCGGTGTGTTCCGGGCTTTACAGTGACAGCAGCTTAATAAACCTGCTGCATTCTCTGTCATTAACACAAGAAAAATAAAATCACTTATTGATCATGACTGAATAACTTTTGAGCTATATATTTCATTTATAAAAAGAACACTATGCAGTATTATTGTTATTTAGCCTGCTAATTTTCTTGGTAGGCTGCTGATTTTTGTTCATGGAAATCAGTTGGAACAAAAACATTTTGCCAAAAGACATAAAATAAATATGTTTGACTAAATGTTATTACCTTACTTGAATTGAATTTTGGGAATCGAAAAGAATCAGTATCGATGAGCAAAATTGTAATCGCTAAAATTCAAACCAGACCCAACCCCAGTGAGGAGGGAACGGGGCATCGGTTTGATCTGTCTTTATCTGTCCTTTTATCTAGTCTCCTTCTTTCTCCTCTGAGCCCAGTGAAGTTATGGCTCCTCATAAAACTGGCTCTTTAGCCAGTCAATATGCTCTGCCTCTCATATCAATCCATTTTCCCTCATTCTACTCTGCACGCTTCTGGGTCTTCATTCCCACAGCTTTTAATTCAATAATAACTGTATTTTCATTATTTCACTTTCCTTAAAACAAAATGCCTTGAACGGTCAAAGGGTAGCTGAAGTACTAGTGAAAACATCAAATGAAAAAGATGACAGTCAAAAAGGGATAAGGAAAGACAGAGGGAGAAAAAGACATTTGGTTTCATAGAGACAAAAGAAAACACCTGTTGGGTTGGGATAAAAGGAAGAGAGACAGGCCTTAAGGGACCATCACAGGGGCCCTTCACCTAGTTTTAATTTCATTGTGATCTGTCAGACGCTCTCCTTCCTGTCCTCCTCTTCTTTTCACTCCTCTCTGCCATAGACTTCTCATTTTTTCTGTAGTGTTGGCAGCCATTCTGACAAGTAGTTCTTCATTTTTTATGATGTTCGTGCCTACCAGGGTCTGTTGTGAGGCAAAGACCTAGTCAGCACAAAAATCAGTCCTGGACTGAGGGGAAAATCAGGTGTCACACAGACAGACAGCATCAGAGAGAGAGAGAAATTTAAGAGAGAAAGAGCAGATAATATTGATGCCACTGTCATTTCTTCACAGAATTGTCATCAAATGAGTGTACTATTTCATTCAGATAAGATGTTAGACAAGATCAGCAAACTGAAGAATGTGTGTGTGGACACATAGCATATTTCAAATAATATGTTTCAAATAAAGGACAATACACATTTTTCTGTTTTCGTGGGTGCCTTGTTACCAACAGCTTTGTGTAGGCGATTTAAAACATGCTAAAATAAAAGCGTTAAGTCACTGCCTTTTGATCATGACCTCATGCACTATATAATATAAAATATAAAAAGTGTTTTCATATAAAAAGTGGTAACATCTAACAATAAGGTTTCATTAGTTAACATGAAGTATAATGGACTGTACTTCAACAGCAATTATTAATATTTGTTAATGTCAATTTTAAAATGTATAATACAAAGCTAAGTTATAATTAAAAGGTATATTTGTTAACATTAGTTAATGCACTGTGATGTAACATGAACGAACAATACACATCTGTATCTAATGTTCACAAAGATTAACAAATACAGTAACAAATGTACTGCTCATGGTTAGGTCATGTTAATATACATTAAAAATGCTAACTAATGAAACCTAATGGTAAAGTGTTACCAAGAAAAGTTATTAATTTTCCACATTTTAAATGTAGGGCTACATATCAATGTGGTTTCTTCCTTGACTTTACATGTTAATGTTTTATTGCAATAGTTCATAACACATAAACCACAAGCAGCTAAATAGTATTACACAGTAGGCCTACTTATGTAAAAATACTTCCTTTTTAGTACGTTTGGATAGATGCTGAAACGTATAAAATGGACGTATCTGCAACATTTAACATTATTACGTTTTTACAGCTACAAAACGTTAACTATTTACGTATATTTTATATCATAAAGATATCTATAATTTCCCTTTTTACCATTTTATAGATAAATATAAAATCCCGTAACCCTAATCCCAAACCTAAACATACCCATTTTATACAGAATGTAAAAAGGATAAAACGTAATGGACAGATGTGTTGGGAAATGGCAGTTTTATTAACAATACAGCATTAAAATATATTTTGAGTCACCAATCCTACTCCTACCAATAAACCTACCCATAACAATTCCTTAAAACTACGTAAACAACAATTGACCCTTCGCTAAGCCCCGCCCTCCCTAGTTACTGTTGCTACGCCTGTCAAGCTTTCACGGCTGGCCCATCTATTATAGTGTGGATGCACCCGGTGTCAGACATTCCCAATGAGATAATTAGTAATTTTCGGCGAACAAGTGAAATATCTGAGAGAGCAAGACAAAAGGGACTACAGTATGCATTTGAGGGATATATTCACGACATTATATGCAACCGATTAGAGAGTAATTTCTTAAAAATTGAAGTTAAAGCCTAACGTTATAGTCCCAGCGCAAGCAGCAGCGCCTCATACGCTGACCGTTCAAATGGAAAACACAAATTGAGGAACAACTCTATGTTCATACACAGCAGGGTATGTGAAAATAATCTTAATAATTATAAATCAAACAGCTTATCAATAAATCTTGTGGAATAACACTAATACCGGGAGAGCCGCAATCGGATTGGGTTAAAGGGTTAGTTCACCCAAAAATGAAAATTAAGTCATTAATTACTCACCCCCATGCTGTACCAACCCCGTAAGACCTTCGTTCGTCTTCGGAACACAAATGAAGATATTTTTGATTAAATTTGAGAGCTGTATATCTACCACATTGGCTCCTAAGGGACTGCCTCTTGACGGCCCAGAAAGTCAATGAAGAAAATGTTTAAATATCCCAAGTGACTACCGTGGCTCAACTATATGTTTATCAAGCGACGCGAATACTTTTTGTGTGAAAAAACAAACAAAAATAACGAGTTTATTTGACTATTTCTTTTCTTACTTGTAGGCCAGAACGAGACTTCCTTAGATTTCCACGACGCATGCGCGAGAATTGCGATCTGAAGTAGTGTAAGCAGATAGCAATTCTCGCGCATGTGTCGTGGAAATCTAAGGAAATCTCGTTTCTGGCCTACAAGGAAGAAAAGAAATAGTCGAATAAACTCGTTATTTTTGTTTGTTTTTTCGCACACAAAAAGTATTCGCGTCGCTTGATAAACATATAGTTGAGCCACGGTAGTCACTTGGGATATTTAAACATTTTCTTCATTGACTTTCTGGGCCGTCAAGAGGCAGTCCTTTAGGAGCCAATGTGGTAGATATACAGCTCTCAAATTTAATCAAAAATATCTTCATTTGTGTTCCGAAGAGGAACGAAGGTCTTACGGGGTTGGTACAGCATGGGGGTGAGTAATTAATGACTTAATTTTCATTTTTGGGTGAACTAACCCTTTAAGTTAAGGGGTAACGTTAGTAGGACGTCGATTAACAAAATGCTGAAATATATTTTAAAGTAAGTCAGTGAGCCTTTGTCTTGTCTCTTTAATCGTCTTATTTTACGTTATATCATTATGACCAAAGAACCATCAATATTTCCAAGCAATACTCTAGGTGTTTTTGTTAAGCATGTCGACATTTACCAGAATGGATCTCGCACATACATGCTAGATCACGCCAATCATTTCTCCCCTTGGCTTTTAGATTTTCTGGAAGGAAAACAATTCCTCTCCCCCGTCAAAACTTTTAGTATACCGGTATCAGATTTGCACAATCCATACGCACAATGCTTCAGCATGTTCCCTCGTTCGAAAGCTTGCCAGACCTCCCGTGCATAGTTACGGTTGCTAAGACATGATTGGCCAGTGGCGGTTTTCGGGCGTGGCTTAGCGAAGGGTCAATTATGAAGAAAAACATAACTAACAGACAAGTATAATCACAATAAATTATTTATTGCGAAAATGTCAAAACCGATACGTTGCAGTCGCAAGTCCTCTCTGGCAGCATTGTAATAGTTTTGTATGAAGTACAGAGCAGAATTTAAATCAATAATCAATGAAAATGCTAATCCGGCTTCGGTTTGCAGTTTTGCACAATTTCAAATGAACTAAACCAACCGTCACCGAGTCTCCATGTCGCAATCTGTGACGAAGCAGGGAAGAGCCAATGAACGTTTGATATCACTGCGGTAAAAGATGACGTAACGCTTCTCAAGGGCGCAGTTTTTGAATTTGAATTCATCACCAGCGCGGGATTTAATGTGTACAGTCGCTGCTGAGAATGGAGACGAAGATCATGACAGGATAAAAGGCTGACTTAGGAGTTGTTTCTTGCAAACAACGTAGGCTATGGATTCTAAAGATTTGGATTACATCAAACTAATAAAATTGATGTCTTTTGTGAATTTATGTTGTGTTTCATAGGAGAAAACGCTTTATGTGTCTCACGGTAAATAAACTATATTACAAAATGGTTAAACGAGTAACGTTAAAGAATGTATTTTTAAGGTTTTATAGTGTATTGTTTAACACCATGCAGGCGAAACGAGCAAAATGTTAATATTTATGAGTATTATATCAATAAATGCGACTGAAAAATTTATAAGACAGTTGAATGCAATAGAGTCAAAACATAATGCTAAGATTTTAATTTGCATTAATTGTGATTAGATCATTAGATCACGCTGCATAAAAAAAAACACCTGCATTCAATTACAGTAGCAGCAAAACTGTTTTGCAATTCAACATGAACATAATAAGTACATTGTATATAACAGTTACTTTAATTATTATTTTATTATTATTATATTATTATTTAGTGTTTTATTTAGTGAATCTTTATTGCCAAAACCAGGCTCAGGGGGATTTTTTTTGTTAAATATAGCTGTAATGTAATTGTGTGTTTTGTTGTTTTTGTGATTATAGCTCTAGACAAGCTGAGCACACAGCATCTGTACCACCCAACACAGGTGGAGATTGTGCAGTCCAATGTGGTGTTTGACATTAGCAGTCTGATGCTGTATGGGACTCAGGCAGTACCTGTGAGGTTGAAGATACTGCTGGACCGTCTGTTCAGCGTCCTCAAACAAGAAGAGGTTCTGCACATCCTCCATGGCCTGGGCTGGACCCTGAGAGACTATGTTAGAGGCTACATACTTCAGGTAAATTAAAACATAAAAGACAAATCAACATACAAAGATGTATGTAGCATTAAGTAGATAACTGAGGTCATTTCAAAAAGGAACACACAATCACTCAGAAATCACTTACCGAAAAATTACAAAACGGTAAATATTTTTACATATCTAAACAAGGATATTAAAAGCCATGCATAAAATAAATCCTGAAAAATGGATTTTCAGTTCTGTGAATGTAGTTATGCTATTTTTTTCTGTTTAGAAAGAAAGAAAGAAAGAAAGAAAAAGAAAGAAAGAAAGAAAGAAAGAAAGAAAGAAAGAAAGAAAGAAAGAAAGAAAGAAAGAAAGAAAGAAAGAAAGAATGAATGCATACATACATACGTATCTATGTATGAGGAGAGGAAAATAAGAGATAAGAAAACTGTCATGACCACAGCCAATAATAGACTGTAGAACCACCATGATGCTTTCCCTTCCTCTTGCTCTTTTAATTGGAATCAGACACATTTTTTAATCAAAGGTACAGGGCTTTTGGGTTCAAAACAAAACCAAAGTGTTCCTGTATGAATTAGTTAAGAGCAACTGAACATGTGCTTGTGGTTAGCCTTGTGTGTCTGATGCCAATAGCAGAGCGAGGTGGATGGCTTTGGTTTGGAGACCATGCCTAAGTGGAACAGCATGCTGAGCTTGAAGGCGGTTTTGAGGCCTTGTTCGAGGAAATGGCTTCTGTGAGTAAATCTCTCCCTCTCGCACACTTTTTCTCTCATCATTTGACTGGAAGGCAATGTGGAAGAACAGTTTTTTTACAGTTGCACAGTCATTTGTTGTGTCTGTTTGTGTTACTCATTGCTCTACCCCTGATTACTTGTCGGAAAATCCTTTATACATTAAATATGACCTAGCAAAATACTGACCACTACAAAAGTAATTAAAATAATAGTAATAATATATTTTTATTTATTCATTATTATTTATTGTAGTTTTGCAATTCAATCGTTGTGTTTAGTTTGTAATAATTTTCTAGATAGTATGTATAAAACTTTAGGGATTCAGGCTCTTAGCATTGATATTAGTATCAGTTTTGAAAATAATTCAATTTGTATGTAATACTGCTCTGATATAATTATAGTTCAGTAAGTATTGCCTATAGTCTGTAAAAAATAACTGAATTGATAGCTATCAAATCATGGCAACCACCCAATGCCTTAACGAATAACTGAAAATGTTTAGTAAAGTAAACAGAGAAATATATTCAGCTTCCAGATCAATTTTGCACTTCTCATTGCTTCGTCCAGCATCTGTTCTTCTTTACAAAATCAAGGTAAGACTTATAATTCAGGACTGACAAGTAAAAAAAAAAAAAACTCTTAAACACTGGCAACCACACTAATGAAAGTTCACCTGCCCCCCAGACTGTGTGTTTTGGGTCTGTTATTCTTTTTGGAGTTGTTTTCGTGTTATTTACCTGATAGCTCTCTTCTCGACCTCATACGTCTGTCAGTCAAGAGAGAGAGTGTTGAGCACTGTTAATCAGAGCCTTGGCACATGATGTCACAACCCACAAAAGGTGCCGGCAAGAGCATGTGCACAAGAATCTTAATTCTAAACTCATAAATATTTCATGCAATAAAGACAAGAAAGAGGTGTGGAAAAGAAAGAATGAGAATGAAAAAATAATATGAATACAAAGTGATTGTTGCATGCGCATACTAGTGTTTTTGTGTGTACTTTAAGGACACAGTAATTATAGATCAGATGTAATTTCTTTTAATGTTATCAAATTTTATTACATTTCATAAAGCCTAAAATTTTTTTTTTTTTTTACATAAAGGTAGATCTGTTTTGTGTGTGTGTGTGTGTGTGTGTGTGTGTCCAAGTGTGGGTGACAGTCAGCATTAAATCACATAATGTAGAGTGGCACACTGGCAGATCAGTTTAATGTGTTCTGTTCTTTACTGAGTGAGAGTAGTGAGAGTGTTCATGGGTCATATTTAAACTCTGTAGTTTATGAATAATTCCCTTCTGCTCTATGCTCTCTGTTTCCTTGCGTTTACTGTCGAGCTGTCTCCTATAGATAGCATACCTGTCACCACTAATAATTCAACAACGCTTTCTCTCAGAAGTCAAACCCACTACCTGTCATTCTTTTCTATGGTGCATCGGCTAGAACACACACACACATTTGAACTTATTCTACAGCAGATCTGATAAAAACATAAATAATTTGAATTGAATAAATTATATATGAAGAGTTCAGATGCAAAAGCCTCTAAATGCCATTTGAAATTTTCTTCTTTAATGATGATTTTTTATCAAACTTGTATATTTAAGTTCAGTAATTTCACTTAAATAACAATTAATAGGTGATTATCATTGACATTTAAGTGAAATTACTGAAATTAAATATACAAGCTTGATAAAAATGATCATTAAAGAAGAAAATTTCAAATGGCATTTAGAGGCTTTTGCATCTGAACTCTTCATATATATATATATATATTGTACTACTGTACAGAAGTGTGGGGCAAAATACTTATAAAACCACCCTTAAGACAATGCACAATGCAGAAAAAGGCAATTAGAATAGTCTGTAATGTTGGTTATTATGAACATACAAATGATTTATTTTTAACTTTGCAAACTCTAAAATTTTAAGACATAGTAGATCTTAAGACCACACAAATTATGTACAAAGCTAAAAACAAAGTACTTCCTAGTAATATTCAAAAATGGTTTAAGGAAAGAGATAGTAGATATAATTTAAGAAGGAGAGGAAATCTCTCCCAATCAATTGCACGTACCACATTCAAAAGCATGTGCATATCTGTCAATGGGGTAAGGCTGTGGAATAATTTACCTGTAATAATTAAAGAAAGCAATCATATTGTGCAATTTAAAAGAAGGTTTAAAATGTTTATATTAGAAAAGTATGATTTAAGGTAGACTGGGACATATGTCTCATTTCCTCTTCAAGAGGATGATTTGAATTATTATACAGTCTGTTTCTTGCCATTCCTTTAATATTCATTGTCAGTATTACATTTTGTGTTTTTTGTTTATTTATTATTTTTGTTTTTGTTTTTCACATTATAATTGTATTGTGTGACTTATTTTTAGATAAAATGTACTGCAAATGATTAAGTTTTTTTTGTTGTTGTTTCTCAAAAAGGATAAATTATGATATTTTGTAAAGAGAAAACAGTAGCCGTTTCAAATCTAGATTTGTAAAAAGGGGAAGGTAAATATAAGTTAGCTTCTTCCTTCTCCTTTTTTTTCTATATTCTTTTTCTTCTCTTTTGAACATGCTAAGATTTTGTTTTTATTATTTTTTGTTTAAATATGCTCTGTTATCAATGACCATGTTCTGAAGAGGAAAAGGAAATGAAAAGAAATAAAATTATTCATTCAATATATATATATATATATATATATATATATATATATATATATATATATATATATTATTTCAGCAGTGCTGAAAGTTCAGTGTAAATAGAGATATTGTCTTTTAAAAATCAGGAAGTTTAATGCCTACAAAAACGACTCAAATGGTACTACATCAGGTTGTATACGTAACTACCCCATACATTTACATCAACCCCTCCCTCCGGAATATGCAAAAAAGGCCATGGCCATATTTATGCGGCTCATCGAAAGTGTGTTATTTTCACCCAGCTGTCAGGTCTTCTGTGTTCAGGCTTCCCACGGACATTGTAGTTCATCAACAATGGAAACAATTTATGTTTGATTATGTTCCTGAAAATTACAATCGTAATTTAGCTCTCTGTGCTGCGCATTTTATGAAAGACAGCTTCCAGAATCTCCACCAATTCAATGCCGGATTCAACAAGAAACTGTTACTAAAACATGAAGCAGTTCTTTAATTAAAACCAGGGGCAGCAGTTGCTGGGCCACAACCTGTAAGTAGGCTAAATAATTTAAAATGTATTTGCATGTATAATTTCACACGTAATGTTTTATCAAATGCCAGCGCTGGCATAGCCACTTAGTTATGCTATTTTTTGTCTACGACAAACGCGTACAAACATTTTGGACCTGAATTTGTCTATACTAATTTTGTAAATGTGTTATGAACTGCTCTGAGACATGGAGATGAAGATCCAAATACATCTTTATTTAAGAGTAGTCGTACAGGCAGGGTCGAGACTCAGCAGACAGGACAATGGAGAATACACAGTGGGAATCCAAGAAACAGGCAGAGAGCAATAATCAGAATCCAAAAACAATCCAAAGTCAAAAACCAGAAAACAAACATGGAAAACGCTCATAAATGCAGACACACAGTACAACAAGACTTCGCCGTGAGTGAATGAGAACACAAGGTATTATATATATATATATATATATATATATATAGACAGATTAACAGGATGAGACACAGGTGAATGCAATCAGTGAATGAGGTACAGGTGAATGTGATCAGTGATGATGAGTACGGGCAGTGAGTTCTGGGAAATGTAGTTGTGAGTGAAACATGAACATCTGGTGTGGAGTGCCCTCTGGTGACTCTCAAGGGCACTCCACCTGGTGACCATTACAAAATTTATTTTTCATATATATATATATATATATATATATATATATATATATATACTTTATGACGTTATTTTCCGATTTGATCAAGAACGTAAACCAATGCCAACGCTGTTTGTGTATATAGTAGCCAGTCAGTTTGATGCTATTGTTTAAAATAAACGTGTATAAAGTAAAAAAAAAAAATTAGGGAAATTGCCATTCAGAAACGTTTTGTAAGAGTGTGTGGAGGTCCTGCTTGACTCTCTTGATCGCTGCTTTCTGGGTCTGATCCTGGCTCATACTGCAGTATCGACACCATTATGTCCATTTGACAGGAACACATATGCAACTTTCGGCCGTAAAGATAATGGGCATGAAGTATCCGGACAACGTGCACTACGCAGTTTAGCCAATCACAACACACCGGCCCAAACGAACCAATCTGAGCTCATTGCCTCTTTCTGAGGAAGTGGTTTCATAGAATCAGG